TCTAAATATTAGGCTAGAATAAAGAAGTGATTTCAGATAGGAATCTAAATTTTAGGCTAGAACAAGAAAGTCAGCTTCAGACATGAAAATGAGAGCTTGGGCTAGGAGAGGGAAGTAGGCTCAGTTACTTTGGTCATCCTGATAAGCCCTTAGAAACAGTGATCACTCGAGTGTTCATGTAATTGGGTTTAGTGCCTTGCTTTTTCTTTGACTATTTGTGTTTACTGTATTGCTTGTTCCTTGACTGTTTGCATCTATTATATTGCTAGACCCTCAACCTAGAATTGACCTTAATAAATACATGTAATCAAAATGGCATAAAATTATAAAGGAAGAAGGGATATAGGATAGGGGGTTCTAGTGAGGGGAAATAGGGAGAGGGGATGACATCTTTATTGCAAATAAATAAAATATTCAATAAAAAAGAAAAAGATAGAAATATTGACAGGGGCCCAAAAATGTAATTTGTACAAAGGTCAACAATGATTTGGTAGGACCAAATCAACTTTATAAGGGGACCAACAGATAGTGGGCATAGAAAGTTCAGGGTTAACTGTGTTCAATAACATAAGAGCTTTGAAAAGATGCTGGATGGTTTAAGGACTCAGTGTGGTGCAAAGACATGTAAAAGAGAGAAGAGAGACAAGAAGTATTCTTGGAGGTGTGCATGACCAGAATCATTTCTAGGGGTTCTTGGGCCCGTACTAGAGCTGATTTATTACCTCATCTTCCTGACTACATATTTTTAGCCTAACATCCCTGATTCCTACTCCTAAAACCTTAAAGAATGTTCAAATAGCTCCTACTGACTAGTTAAGGGCTTGCCAGAAAACAAATTATTAAGTTGGGCTTGGTTTGGTTGATTGGTTGGTTGGTTAGTTTTTTGCCTTCCCTTCTCCTCTGTCTTTTCTTTGTCCTCTTCACAAAAGATCTGGTAGCTACTTTTCTTGTCTCTGTTATCAAATAAATGACAACACAAACATCAAAATAAACAAATGAAAACAGGATATTAATGGAGGCAAGGTTTATTGTACCCTATATATTGAGAGCAATCCAATTCATCATAGCAGGGTAGATATGCCAGGGAAGACTTGGCAACTCTATGGCCACAGGAGGGGACCACAGCTGGCTGCATAGCATTGGCAGTCAGGAAGCAGAAAGAGGTGCATGCTGGTGTTCAGCTGGCTTCCTTTTCCTTTTTCCTCTTTTACTTTGTCCAGAGCCCCCAGAACATGGAATAGTGCCATCCACATTCAGGATGGGTCCAACCTCTCTAGAAACCTCCTAAAAGGCACACCAAAGAGGTATGTCTCAGGTAATTCAGAATCTGTTTAAGTTGGCAGTGAAAATTAACTGTCACCAAATCAGGTAGTAATTATTGCTTTAAGTCACTTTCTAACCACAATTCAGAAGCCTTGGCAGTTCTAGGACCTATATAATCTGTCATTCATCAATTCTTCCATGTGCCCATTCATCTATTGTCCAACTGGTCACTCATCCATGCAGTCCTCAATGCATTCTTCCACCCCCACCATCATTTTACCCATTCTATAATCCTATTCTTTGAGCATCTCTATCCTCACATATGTATCTTACATCCAAATATTCACTATGGCCCATCTACACATCCAAGCATTCATTCACCCAACTACTTGAGTACTAACTTGGTAAGAAGCACTCTGCTAAATTCTTGAGTTGTAAAGTTGAAAGAAGAGACCATATCTTTTCCCTGAAGGATCTTATTAAGAAAACAAAGAAGTAAATTCGTGGCTAAAGCACAATATATAAAATGTTCAATGCAGAGGGTCATGGGACCATGTAGAAAGAAAGCTATCTTAATGAAGAGTAAAACAAATAAAGATCAGAAAGAATGGTACTTGTCTAGGATTTAAAAGGTTAAGTAGGTATTATCTAGAGAAGAAAGAAGAAGAAAATGTTTCAGAGAAAGGGAAGGGCATGTCAGGGGCTTGAAAGGATGCAATTATCCAAGAGTAGCCAGTAGTTTAGTGAGAACAACTCAAGCTTATAAGGAGAATGAACAGCAGGTGATGAGCCTTTGAAGAGCATTGTGGACTGCTAATGACTATAACTGTATCATGAGAGTTTTAGAAAGAAGATAGATGTTTTTAGGATTTAGTCTAGAGCTCAAGGATGGAAAGAGAAAAGAGACAAGAAATACTTAAGGCATGTGTGAACACAGTAGAAAAGAATATTTCATTCTAGTTCAACTTTAGTCTCCCCAATCCCCACCATTACTACCAAACACATACCTGTCCTACTCACCTTAATGTTTCTCTCCAGTTCTGAACATGTATGGTCCTGCTGGTATACATTTCATGAAGTAAGAAATTCGACTAGCCTCACTTCAATCATGCCCATGATCTCAAATTTTTTTAAAAAAGTAGAAAGTTGCTGGTTTTAGTTTTTGGGTTTTGGTTTGTTGTTTTGGTTTGTTTGGGTTTAGCTTTTGTTTGTTGGTTTCATTTTTTTGCCTTGGTTTTGATTTTCTAAACTGGGGATTTTTGACATTTTAGTGAATGAAGAGCAGGGTCCATGTTTTCATTCTTCTAATCAGTTAAGTAGGCAGACACTGACACTGGGAGATATGCATTTCCCCTTTGCATAGTAGTAAATGTCACACCATTTTGAATGGGTGAGAACCTGTCTGTTTTTCTCTCAAATTTATTATGGAATTTCCTCGGCCATTGCTGAACCTGCAGGTCACCTACTCTGATATGCTGTCATCTCATCAGACCCTCCTCAGAAAATGACAGCAGAAAAAAAGGACAATGACCTTGTACCACAAAGCAGAAAGTCTTTCTCCATTCAACTCTATAAGCTGGTTGAGTGGAAGACCTGGGGGCTACCTCCCTTTATCACTAATTTTCTGTGATTTTTTTTTCAGACAGGTCACATATATTCTGTCTTCCCCTTTCTTGTCCCCAAAACAAGATGAAAATGGGCACAAGGATGGAACATGCTTTCAGAACTTGCCAGTTCTAGCCTTTAATAGTATTATTGATCTCCTCCTATGAGCTAATTAATAAAATGAGCTATATAGGAATAAACATTGGTAAAGTAGTTAAGGTTTCAAGCTCTGCATCTTTGAATGCTATTTCTTCCCATTCCTGATCAAACTTCTTTGGAAAAATGATGTAGCTGTTCCATGTCTCAGGGATTTTATCTGCACAATACATAATGCTATCAACCTCATAGGTATATTGAAAGGATTATATGCTGGAGATGTAGCTCAGTAGTAGAGCATTTGTCTAGTATGTTTGGTGTCCTGGGTGCAATCTTTAATATCGCTCACAAAAAAGATTAAACAGATATTATACACAAAGCACTTAAGAAAGAAATTAACATACTTAAAGATTTCATAAGTGTGTGTTACTATCATTATCACCTCAGTGTAAATCTTAAGTTCCAAGAGTTTTGTAGGTTTGGAACTTCATGACCAAGAGAAACTACTGGAAGCAAGACTACCTCTTGGCCTTGAACCCTTTCTAGTCCTTCTTACAAGGGAAAATGAGTCCCCACAGCTGTCCTGAAACTTCTGGTAACACTGACTTTTTTTCAAGTTTTTTTTTCAAGTTCGTCTTCTTCAATATCCCTGTGGCAAGGTTCTTGAGAAGAACCCCTTGTGTTTGCACCCGTTGCAGTTTGCACCGTTGCACTGCAGAAGTAGCTTGCTGACAGCACTTTACCAACTGTGAGAGGCTGGAGCTCTAAAATGGAAGAGCCTCAGCGACCTGAGCACTCCAGCTCTTGTCCCTTGTTGACCTTCTGCCCTTAAGTTTTTTCCTGTAACTTGCCTTGTAATTGAAATACTAGGAAAGAACTTGTAGTGTGATTCAGTTGTAGCACATGTGAGTAGCATACACAAGGCCCCAAGGTTCATCCCCAGTGATGCAAATAACAAACAAATAATCAGTGGAAAACCTGTAATCTCTTTAAGCAAACCTGAATTATATGAGTAAGAAAATGAAACAATATGCAGTTTGGGGCTCATCAAAATTCTAATTCATCAAAAACATACTAGTCAAAACCCATTAGCGTGGGCTGCTCAATCGTTTAATAGTGTTCAAGAACAAGAATTTAAAACTCCCATCTAAGTTCAGTATTTGATGTAGTCTGATTTTCACTTGCAGTATGACCTTCCGTTAATAATAATGAAGGCAAACTTTTTCTGAATAATTTTTTCAGACATAAATCAAAAGCAGATTCAACAGTTTTCCCTGATGGGAATGTCAGCACACAGCTGGAGACATGACTCTTTAGAAAGGGTAACCACGGAGTCTAGGAAATCAGCAAATGATAATCGGCCAGTGCCTTTCCCATGAGGAGCATTCAAAGCTGACCAAACCACAGTGCACAATCACACACCTGCCGGAGCCAGATGGCTTCAAATTTGATGGACATGAAGCAGCCGTGGTTGCCCGAAATTTACTTGGTGCTGGTGACTTAAATCAATCTTGATGGTGCTCTTTGAGTTTGGATATGGCGGTGCAGTGGTCTTTCAAGTTCAAGCCCCAGAACCTCATAGAGAAAACTGTTTCCAAGACCCAGGCATTGGTCAATACATGAATGGTTTGGACAAATAGAGTGTGTGAAGCAAAATACTTGGGCTTTTGTGCCCCTGACTGTAAACATTGGGTTGGATTTTGAACAAGATCCTTAAGCTCTATATGCTTCAGTTTCCATACCTGTAAGTCAAGAGTGAGGTATAAAAAGAACCAAAAGTGTAAAGCTATTCTCCTTAAATGGAGTTGAAGATCAAAGAGCCACAGTTGGCCCTTCTGTGCATTGGGCTAAGAGGACAGTTTCTGAGTGACTTCTTTTGGCATCATATGTTTGGTCAAATACAGATAATCCTTTTGTAAAAAGGAGCTTAGAACAAATCAAAGGAAAAGAACTGATCAGACAGGTTGTTGTCCCATTTCCCTGCTCCTCAGCTCCGCTGGCCTCTGGCTCACAGGCTTGCCCTGTGCTTCCCGCAGGTTTGAAAGCTCGCTGGCTTCCCACCTGGGACTACCTCCTCAGGACTTGCCTTCTTATGCTGCAAATTACTCAGATGACTCTAAAACCTGGCGCCCTGTGGAGATTTCTCGACTGGTCAGCAAGTACCAAAGTGAGATATCTGACAGGAGGATCTGTGCCTCTGCATCAGCGCCAAAGACCTGTAGCATTGAGCGCATCCTTCGGAAAACAGAGAGGTTCCAGAAATGGCTGCAGGCCAAGCGCCTCACACCTGACTTGGTGCAGGTGAGTGCGGGCCACGGGTGAAATGAGGGGTGGCAAGAGATATCCACTCATACGTCACACCTCTCACCTCAGAACACAGAGGCCCTCAGACCTGTAGGTTGCCACCCCTTTGGGGGTCTAACGACCCTTCCACAGGGGTTACCTCAGACTATCAGAAAGCAGTTATTGCATTACAATTCACAACAGTAGCAAAATTACATTTATGAAGTAGCAATGAAAATGATTTTATGGTTGGAGGTCACCATGAGGAAATAAATATATATATATATGGGTCACAGCATTAGCAAGGCTGAGAACCACTGCTCTAACATAAAGCAGAAGTATTGGTTTATCTAAAGTATGGCATAACAATCGTAAAACAGAGTGGCTCATGACAAGAAAGGAACTAATCAAAACTGGCTTGTAACACTCTGTCATGTTGTCATCCACCACTCTCTTCTATATGATCCTCAGTGATTATAAACAGTCCCTGACTGGCATCTTTGAGCTGAAGGTTTGCCAAACCCTTAGTAGCCCTTACCAGCCCACTCCTCTGACAAAGATGCTGACTCGACTCCTAGGTGAGCTAAGCCACTCTATAGAAGTGCCCACACAAAACGAAGGTCAGGCACGGTGGCATGTGGCTGTAATCTTAGTAGTCAGGAAGTAAAAGCAGGAGGAGCATGCCACAAGTTGGAAGCCAGTTTGAGCTACATAGTAAGACTATCACATGCACACACACACACACACACACCATTGATTCTGCTCTGCTCCTTTTGGAATCCTGACTAGTACATGTAGAAACTGTTTTGAAATCAGGTGTCAGGAAAAGTACAGTGCTGGTCTTAAAGGTACCATTTGACACTGGATAAAGCTGAGTTTTCCAAGGCTGCACTTTTCCTCCAGCTTCTTGCTAACAAGTCCATAGTGAGACACACAATCCCCCAAGGGAAGAGTATTCCTACCTTGAAACTGTGAAACATTGCAAAAGAAAGAACTTCCTGACATCCAAGATGAATTCCAAAGTCTGTGGGGATCTCTGCTACTATGCCAGCTAGCAGAGTGATGATCCCATTCCAGGGAGTAATGAAAATAGTTCATTCAATACAACTAAGTAGGCAGTGTTGGTTCAAACTTCAGTAGTCTGAACTCAAGACGTTTATTTGAGACATAGCTAAGCACAGCAAAACTTGGTGAATAGCTTCCTGGTGATGAATAACTCAATCCCATGGGTACAAGAAAGCTTAAGACATGACTTCATTGATACTCTTTGTAAAGTACATGTGACATCTTCCCAAATTATAGGTCCTATAGATTAACAAGCTGATGAGACAAGCTCATGTCTCTGCCACACAATGCAAAAGTCACCAGTCTTCTCCTAGCCTTCTGGGTGGAAAACAGGTTATACATTTCTCTCTTTGGAGAGACAACTTTATGTGTTTACTATTACAGGTTCCCCTAGTGCTTATCTGTGAGCACAAGAACCTTCATGCCTCCCACAAAAGTCATTACAATGCAGCAAGATCAGTCTTAGGCTCTAGGCCAGTGGCTCTCGGCCTTCCTCATGCTACAACCCTATAATATAGTTCCTCATGTTGTGATGACCCCACCAACCATAAAATTATTTCATTGTTACTTCATAACTGTAATTTTGCTACTGTTATGAATTATAATGTAAATATCTGATATGCAGGATACCCCATATGGATCTCAACCCACAGGTTGAAAAACACTACTGTAGACTAAGGTAAACTGTTGTCCTTGTGCCCTAGACACGTTCATAATAACAAGAGACTGAGAGTCCTGTGAGTCCTGACAAGCTCACAGCACTCTTCTGGTACGTCTAGAGAAACCAATATTATTGTATGTGGACACCAAGGTGTAGGCCAGAGACCCCTAGTGGTAGTTTGAATATGCTTGGCCCAGGGAGTGGTACTATTTGAAGGTGAGACCTTGTTGGAGTAGGTGTGATCTTGTTGGAGGAAGTGTGTCACTGTAGGGGTTGGGCTTAAAGATCTTCCTCCTAGCTGCCTGGAATCCAGTCTTTTCCTAGCTATCTTTGGAACAAGAAGTGGAACTCTCAGCTCCTCCAGCCCCACATCTGCCTGGATTCTGCTGTGCTTTCTGCCTTGATGATAATGGACTGGGCCTCAGAACCTGTAAGTCAGCCCCAATGAAATGTCCTTCATAACAGCTCTTGCTCATAGTGTCTCTTCACAGCAATGAAAACCTTAACTAAGATACCCATGGAACATGAAAACTGTGCTTGAATCTCAGATCTGCTACTAAAAACTGTGGCACAATGAAAAGAAACTGAATCCTAGGAAGAATTGAGTGCTTCTGATTCTCATTCATACATTCAGCAAGTTTCGACAACTGTGCTTCAGCTGTAGATCTGGAGATGAATCACATGCAGTCTCCTCTCCCAGGAGCATTGGGTTCAGTGGTGGAGACAGAAAATCCTATATAAACTAACAACTCTTTCAAGTTGTAATATCTTTATGAGGACAAGGGCAGACTACCGACTTGAGTTTTTCATTCACTGACCAGTGGCCTTGAATTTAAGCCTTAGACTTACTTACTCTGCTTTAACCTTACTGCTGAAGACTGAGGTAGGAAGAGGGCTTCTGGATAAGCTCAAAGGCCCTCCAAGCTCTGACACTCTTTGACTTCCGTGGCTCTGATGAGTTTACTTCACAGACAGACCTGAAGTCTACTATCACTGGATTTTCTTGTTTCTAAATTGGCTCCTTGTTCTGCATGATTCCTTCATCCTGGTATGCTTAGAGATAGAAGATGCTTTTGAAAAAGCCCATCACTGTAAAAATACATGTGGTGTTTTGGTAATAAATGAGCCCCTCTCTTTTATTTATTATGCAAATATTTTCTCCATCTATTTGTTCATTTTGCGTTTGCCATGTACTTATAAGTTTCACTTCTTTCTACCCAAACATCTCTTACCAGCAAGACAGCCCATACCATAATAGTATTCACCTTTTGTTGCCCCCCAATCCATCTTTTCATTCCCAGTAGACTTTCTGCTTCCTTATAAAACAAAAGAAAAAAACATCAACAACCATTTTATAAATTCTTAACAAACCCTATTGTTTTTCTATTCACTGAGATAAAAATCATCAGTATTCTTTTCTGGCAACATCTTCTCCCTTTCTTGTCATACTTTTTTCGTAGAGACCCTTTGCCTTTGGCATCTACAGCTTGTCTGTCCTTGCATTTTTGATACTCTTTGCTGCTCCCAGATCTCATCTGATTATCACCCACGTGCCTATTCTTTTCTTTTTAGCAAAACTGTTTCAAATAGATTCATCAGTGGAGGAAAAACCTCTTACCTAGTGCAACCCAGGAAAATTGAAGACCAGAGTTTAAAACAACCTTGTAATAAATATTTATAACAGTGCTACTTCTAATAGCCAAATGGTGGGAACAACCCAAATGTCCATCAGTTGATAAATGGCTAAATAAAATGAGTTATATCCAAACCATGAACTATTTATTAGTCAGCCTTAACAAGGGAAAAATTACTGATTCACACCACCACATATATGCACCTTAAAAATGTGCTCCACAAAATAAATCAGACAGAGAGGGCATGTGTAATTCTATTTATAGGAAATGGACACAGTAGGTAAATGAATAGAGACAAATAGAATAGTAGTTGACAAAATCTAAGAATAGGAGAGAATTCGGAGTGACTATTACTGGGATACAGTTCTTTCGGGGATGAACAGATTCTAGAATTAATTAACTAATGATGTTTTCATACCATCGTGTGAATGTACTAAAACCCATCAAATTGTATAGTTTAAAATGACTAAAGTGGCCAGGCATTATAGTGTCTGCCTCAGTACCAGCACTTGAGAAGCTGGGGCAGGAGGGTGGCAAGGCTGAAACCATTCTGCACTACATAGTGAGACCTTTAATCAAAAAAAAAAAAAACAATAGTTAAAGTGTTGAACTTCACGTTACATGAACTTTAATTCTGTGATAAAAGAAAGTATGGTGGAGGCATATGTGATCAAAGAACATTGTGTCTGAGTATGAGTATATCCTTGTAAAACTCCATGCTAGGTGCACTGAATGAATCCCAATAAAAAAAGGAGTCATTAAAATACTAACCTATCTTGTGATTCCCTTCTTTTAAAGACATGTGATAGACAGCTAACCTCCTAGTACCCTACGCCAAAATGATAACAATGAAAAGCGTTTAACTGCCAGCACTCCAGGAAAACATTTGGATACAAAGCCAGCAGTGTAATTCTCTGGCATAACAATAACAGTGGTGTTTTGTTAACTATCTCAGATGTTCCTAATACTGCCAGTCTTCTGTGGACTTCATGTTGTGGGTTCCATCAACCACAGATCCAAAATAATCTGGGGTATTCACTTGTAGTCCTGGCTACATTGGACTCTGAGACAGAAGAACCCCTGGAATTCAAGAATTCTAAACCAGTCTATGCAACATAGTGAGAACCCACCTAAAACCACTCTGACAGTGTCTGCATTAACTGTAAACATATTTTTCCTTTTTGTCTTTCCCTAAGCAACATAATTATTTGCATATGCTATAGGTTATTGTAAGTCATTTAGAAATGATTAAAATTTTGGAGATGTGCCTAGACTCTACACAAATACTCCGACACTTTCTTTAAAGGATGAAGTGTTGAGGAGGACCGTGTACCCAACCACATACCCATATTCTCTTTCCATATAGCACCAGAACCATTCTCAACAGCATTCTAAGCAAGCAGTATCTGTCCCTGATCTCATCTGGAATAAGCTGAGATCTCTGAGTCCTAGATTTGGCTGAACAGCTCTACTCTCTTTTTCTGACAATCCATCAGGCATAGGGACTTATTTATGGTTGGGAAATCCTGTTTATTCTTATGTGGGAGTTTTATGCACCAAATGGGGAGCTATTACAAGATGGATGGGAACGAGATGTACCTCATCTTCCAATGTACACCAAATAGGCCAGAGCCAGTTCAGCCTACCAGCCAAGCCTG